TAGGCCGAAGTGCCGGACAAAACTCGGGAGCTCAAAACCCACAGCGCTTTGGAGCCAAGAGTCTTTCGGACGATAGTGCATTGCAGCCACAACCACAAGCAGAAGTAGCCGCACAGGCAAAGAGCCATGCCTGAATGAAGTTCAAGCTTGCAGCTTTGTACTATCACGAAAACTCTGAAAGGACTATATGGTATATATATATATATAGACCCACGGATACAATATTCAATCTTCGTAGCAGTAGAAACACTGCTCCGACTGCCATTTCGCACCAGGCCGCCCGCAAACCTTGGAGTCAGCAGGCACCACGGGCACAGCAATCTGTAGTCTACCGTGTAACGTTTCCCCAAAGTGCCGTAACCGGGAGTATCTCAAATCATCATCCTGTCATATACGAGTACTGCACCGTGCTGCAGAGATCGGGCTCACTTGACAGTCAAGGCACTCGGAGATGTGCATGTAGACGTTCTTCTTCAAGTCAATCCAGGCCTGGTCCCCGGCACAACCGGCCGCCGAAACGACAAGCAGTGGCAGGATGATCACTTCCAGGAGGAACTTGAGGTCCAGCCACCTCATCTTGAGCTCTCACATGCTCTCGTGACTCTCTGTGACCCTGGTGCGGTGTCTTCGCCCCCCTCCCACCTGGAGATCTTCCGTGCTGCACGCCGCTTGTATGGCGAGTCCACGAAAAAGAACAAGTTGACCTCAGGTGTCAAGGGGGCCCAGATGTGGAGTCGACAACATTGAGGGCATCTGTCGCAGCGCTTCTACTTCCGGCTAGCAGCCCACGCGCAAGGCACAGAGCACAGCAATCGCACGGAGGATCGGCACTCGTCGCCCCCGTGGTAGATCACCTGAAACGTGGCAGCTGGGAACCCATTGAATCCATGAGCCTCTGGTGCAATTGCAGAAGAGTCGCGAGCAGGTAGGTGAAGATGATGTTCGATGCAGCTGGACACCACCACCAAGAAACCAAATGTCGTGTGGTCACGACGAAAGCCACCATCATCACCTTGTGCCGAGTTTTATCTGGCTTGGGTTGCTCGTTGCAGCTGGCGGCTGAGCAAGGGGCCGTGCGAGTCACCACCTCACCTCAGCTACAGTACCATAGCAGCAACAAGAAGGGGAGAAGCCAACTTGGTACTCCTTTCCCCCTGGCAGAAATACGCCCTTCTCCTTAAGTCTCCCTCGCCCCCTTTAACTTCTCTTTCGAATTCGGGGTAGGGGGATGCCACAAACCTAGTAGCCCTAAAGCTTGAACCCTCCCCCTGATGCTAACAACCCGTTGAAGGTTTGGTAGTCTGTTTTTACGACAAAGGGGGGGGGGGGTTGATGTTAGGGGGAAGGGCTTACAGTTTTCTCCCCTACTTCTCTGTTATGCTGATGAACAGTGTTTCTAGTTCGAACGGCACGTCATCTTCTAAGCATATACCCGCGGATGGGAGCCGCCACTCTCATCTACTCTTGCCCAGCCGTTGCCCAGTGGCAGAACCGAAACAACAGGTGCAGCATCTCGTACCTGAAGACGCGTGAAAGGGTTCCAGCTTCGCTACACAAGAACCCTCCTTTGACCCTGAGATGCTGCGCCAAGGCTTACTAATTCTGCTGCCTTCCCTCCGCACTGACTTCTTATCACCACTTCCATCCCGAGGCCCCTCCGGCTTTGAACAGATGTTCGTGCCTCAAAGATTTTCGCATCTCCCGTGCCACAGCTCCGGAGCAGCAGAAGTCCAACTCGACCATTCCAGACCCAGCAGAGATGAAAAGGATGACTCCTTAAGGAGGTCTTTTGGCGGTGGTTGCCTTTTGTTTCTACTTTCTGACTTATACTTCTTCCTTGATTGAAGTGTGTGTGTGTGTGTGGTTCGATTTTTTGAGGGGATGAACTTTGGCAAGGCTCCCAGCGTGCCCAGAAAGGGGCGCTCATAGTTCCAGGACATTTTCATGAGCGGGTTCTCGGGTGGATAGTTCCTGCGATCAACTTCCCCCACCCGCTCCTCCCCCTCCCCCCCCCCCCCCCCCCCCCCCCCCCCCCCCCCCCCCCAAAGTCACAGAATTCAGCTTCCCAAAAAAGGGCCGAAATGAAAAGCTCCTTAAGTCTCTCAATGCCGAGGGACAGGCTCCACCAGGCACAAGCCAAGACGGTAATGGCGGGCAAGCCTTCGCACAAGGCCGCCACGGCCTTGCAATGATATCGATTCCACGCCGACATCTCGCGATGTTGGGTCTGCCCATGCTGCTGCTCCTGGCAATCGAAAACGTTACTTGTTTGGTAATAAGGTGGGGGACGGCTTCCAACAAAAGCTGCGTGATTCACGGCGTGATCCCTCATTTTCGAACTGGCTTCCCTCACATCATACAAACTCAAAGAGGAGGATGCGTTGATGCCATGTCCTGGCGGTCGAGATACTCGTCGTATGCGAGCAAGATGATCACGCCCTGCGCTCACAAACGGAATGTGAGCTCCACCCTGCCCTCTCAGACCGCCAATGCTCCCGGATGTGCCTCAGAATCCCCAACAAAAACCAACGCCGGACCATCCCAAGACCTCTGGCTTTCCGCTGAGAGTGGCCTGGAAGAGGCCCATAGGCATCCACAGCGTAGCCTGGAAACATCCCCCCAAACCCCAAACAACACCACACAGCGGGCTTCATAGATGGGTTCAGCAAGATTTTCAGCCCTCCCCCCCGGTTCAGCCAGGCCGCCCTGAAGACAACCTGCGATTTAATTTCAACTTCAACTTTGTCTTCAAACTCCACTGGCTCCTTGAGGTACCAAGGCTGACTCCGCAGGGGCAGGCCCCAGGCCCAGTAGAGCTGCGTGGGCTCCGCGTACCATGCGGCGTGGGTGCAGACAAGGCCTCTCCAGGGGCTTCAGGGGGGTGCGGCATGATGTGGGCTCGGCATTCTTTGTGTGAGGGGTTGTACCATGGTGTATCGGGCGTACTGTACTCCAGGGCTTCAGATGAAATGGTGCTACATCTGGCGGCAGTCAACGGATCACAGCTCCAGATGCTTGATTAGGCCGCAGTACATATCAAATCTGCAGCCGCTTCGGGCTTCGGGGCTCTGGGCCTCAAATGGCTCCAAGAAATCATTTACTGTTGGTGCGCCCGCTTTCGCGGCGCTATCTCAAAGGTCCTACGAAGCGTTATACGAAGCGTTCTACCAATGCAGCGTCTCGCCCTTCTCTGCATCCAGCAAAGCACCACTGAGGGCTTCCAGATTTTCAGGGGGCGCTTCTTCCAAAGATGGCTTCCGCAACTCAACGTGATCTGCAGGGGTGTCCACATGAGTCAGAACATAAAGGGGCTTGTCGCCAGGAAGCTTGCAGGCGCCTTGCACGCGCCCGTCAAGGGCAAAGGCAAGCACGCGTTTGTCAACGTCCACCAACATACCAATCACGTTTCCCGGTGTGCAAGCCTTCTCGAACTCTGCGACAGCCTTTGTGCACGCATGAAGCGCGCCCTTGCCGTTGTGTATGGAACCTCCCGAACGGCCAGCGCGGCCGCAATAGTACGTCCAAGCTTCCAGTTCTCTGCCACCATACCTTTGACCTGCCATTTCCGGCGACATTGTGACTCCACACCACTGCTCATCACCGACCTTGTGCAGAACGAACTCGTAGTAGTGCATCCCCGACCGCATGGGCTCTTTGGTCAAGACATTGACGAAGTCAGTACGCAGGTTTGGAGAACAAACAACTGCACCATCGACTTCAATTTGTTCTGAATCCGGATTGCCATCCGAATCCCATGAGCACATCGGTGTCTCATCCTTAACGCAGAGCACTTCGAAGCCCTCTGCTGGTAGGTCAAGTGAAGTTAGTAGCTCGCCATCCTTCACCAGTTTTTGGAGCGCGCCAGGGATGCCAGTGATCTCTTCGATCTTCAACCGAAGCTCGAGGAGATCTTCGGGGACTGGGCTGATTTCGGCCAGGATGCCACCAGCCAGGTTAGACACCACCACGGACATCAACAAAGGACCACAAGATGACACACAATAAATTGAAAACTGCTTGTCAGATTCTGCAAGTGGTGCGCGAGCCAAATGCAGCTGCACCATGCAAACAGCTGTCACTGACGGCCATTCTTTCGACATAACTTGGCAGTCATAGGAGGTCCCGAACAAATGTTCAAGTCAGGCATCGAACTCTTTCAACAATATGCATAGTATGCGTGCCTGAAAGAAAAAGGGGCGCCATCATGGCGTAGATCCTCAAGATGCGTGGCGTCTGGTGATGTGATCTGCGGAGACTCTTGGTGAAGGCTCTGGGTTTCTGAGGTAGCTTTAAATGACATCCACGACAGTCCTTAACTCTTAACTTGGACGTGACGGTGGATTTTGGTAGACTGGGGTCACGCGTCGGCCGTAGGGATCCCACTAGAAAGGAAGAGTTAACATTAGCAAGTCATGAACTCCTTCAAATCAGTCCGTTCACTTGGGCGAAGCACTACCTTATACAAATGCAAGGTCCTTCGCTTCGCCCACCTACATTCTGCTCCGAGGCTCATGTTGTAGTTTGCAGTCATGATGAAATCCACCATGGCCAGCATCTGCGAAAGGAGCGCGGCGCAATGCAGCAGGAGGAAGCTCCTCTGGCGTTGAGTTGATGACGGCCATTTGAGGCTTCCAACTTTTCTAAAGTCTCATGATGCGCCTGTCTCAGATGACCGTCCCAAACAATCTCAAAGAATCTCGCAAGACAACGACGATTCTTACCCAAGATCATTCGCATCGACAGAACCATCACAGACCCTGGTGCACATGCGGCCGCTCCCCAGTCGCCGTTGCAGAGCACGCGTGCTGCGGCCGTCGCCGCATTCTCCCATTGTGCCCGTCTGGGCATGGGTTTGGGGTTGATCGCTTCAAAGCTGGGTTGAAAGTTCGGATGAACAGTTTTTTTTGGTCGAGTTCAAAAAATAAAAGGCCAGCGTCCATGAAAGCAGCGGCTGGGCAAGAAGACTATTGCAAGGAAACCGCCTCCACGTGTTCACAAACAGACTTTAGGAATATGCTTGTGTCCGCAACTGATCAGCTCATTTTCAACCATGATTGAGATACATTGTATACATGCTCAAACCACGTAGGCATGAACCCAAGGGCAGACGTTATCAGCACCGAAGCCGAAGCCTTTATAGCAGAACAAATGCCAAGACGGCCTCATGCAGAGACACTTCCAATGTCCTCTCTGCGAAAGCGACCATGGCCAAACAGTGCGCTTCATCGAGCACGATGCAACGTTCTCTTGCTCTTGTTGCCGCGTCTAACGGTTGTTCATCTAGTTAAGGATGTTTTGCTTGTGTTGACTAATGCCAAAGAATGCATGGTGACAGGGTGCAACCATCGTCTGCTCCCCGCTGTCTTGATATGCAACCGCCCTCACAGACGCAAACACTGATGCATCGCAAATGCTAACCAGAAAGGTGCCACGTACTGATGCCTCCCTTGTCTCAGGCAATAAATCCTAAAGCTGTAAGCCAAAAACCAAGATGAACACTTGGTATGTGACGAGCGGTCAGAGGGTTGAGTTGGAGCTATCATCCGGGCATGCCATGGTTTGTTTTCCGACGCGGCATTGCGTGTCGGCCAAGCTTCGCTACGCTCCAGGCTGCCTTCGGCTGGGCGCGCCTAAGTCATCTGAAGTCTTTGCGTAACATACTCCGGCGATACCGCAACCATCTGCACGGCACGCGAGAGATCGACGCAAGCTCTTGTGCTGCCATGCTGCTTGGCGGGCCGGGCGCTTCTTTGGCTGCCCTGAAGCCAGCGACTGGTAGCTGCCCCGGGGTGGCAAAGGCCTGTCACGGCTACATCTTCGATGTGCAACAATACATGCCCAAGTGGGTGTTGCCTGACGGGCATTGAAGAGCGTCTAGCTGCGTTGAGGGTGAAAGACAAGTTGCAGAGGACAGGACGAGTTGTGACGAGGTTGAGGATCTCGTCAATTAACCCAAAGGTTACCTAACAGTGCTCCGTTTCAGCTATCCCTGTCGAAGCAGACCAATGGAGCAAGAACCCATGGCCCTCGGCATCAGACGCTTCAACCATCTATGACGCTAGACATCTCTGGACACACCATGTGATCCTAAACCCCAAAAAACCCTAAGCTTCAAACCCCAAAAAACCCCAAACCCAGGTTTGATGGCACAAGTCACAGACCGCACGTGGTCGGCCGGCGGCCTCTCCCCGACGATGCTGCTCTGCCAGTTTCTCCGCGCGTCGCGCGCGGATCTTCTTTGAAGCATCTGGAGGTAGATCCTAGGAGCTGGGTGTTCGGAACATTTCGGATTCACACACATAAACCCTAAGTTGACAGCAACCATTCTTAGATGGTGGCACCTGGATTTCCGGGTGAAGACTGGTGGTCGCCAAGAGACTGCGGCGCTGGGCACCCCTGGCCGCATCTTCCCATAGATGTCTGCCCGCACGTCCTGCCATGAAAAAACATGCATATTCCCTTGAATACGGTAACATCTGGTAGTAGCCTTGCAATTGAGCCCTTTGACCTTTTTGGTCTGACATACAGCACGCAGCACTCCTCTCGAGTCGGCCGGCCCTCCTTTCTCACCTGGCCCAACATTAATAAAGGCTTGGGATGTGTCGTGCTATGCCCACACAGGGGAAGCTCATGAAAGCTCCGACTAGCGTGGCACAGTAGGCTCCGATGCTCCAACTCCAGCATACTCCAGCCATCTCACTGCTCCTGCGAGGCTCGGCGCGCCTTCTTCTGAGGCTTTGGGAGCGCCTCGTCCTCGCGGAAGAAGCTGAGAAGCTGCCGCCAGAAGGGCAGCGGCGCGAGCAGCACCACGAAGGAGAAAACGTACTTCCTTTGCTCAAAAGGGGAAGAAGCTGCTCAAGGACCCAAGGGGAGAACCCTAGACCTTCGACACGCACTGAAATTCCTAACAGCTCAAGACATCGGGAACATCGGGCATGCTTTATCGCAAGGCTGCAGTTCAGTCCAGGTGTCCAGTTTCTGCGGCGTTCGATCCAAGCATTCCGCAGCAGCGCGAGATCCTCTTCAGGGTTGCATTCTGTGTCCGGGGTCGCTGAGTGGCAAGCAGGAATCTCGGGTCACAGTCGGTCCAGGCCCAGCATGAAGAAGCCCATGACGATGGCGTCCCGCAGGCGCGAGTGCCATGATTGGCTTTCCCTTGGCATCCGAGGCCTCGCGAAAGGTACTGTAGAGGCAGAATTCCGAGGCACCACGTAGAGTTCATGAAGGCTGCAAGTTGGGCTTACAAGGATGCAGCAATTCCGAGTGAATGAAATGAGGTATCTCTCCAGGAACGCAAACGTCATGTCGGAAACCGATGTCAAACCCCAAGATACGAATATGTGTTTCAAGTAGTTTCACAACATGCATCCCGGAATGTCAGATGACTCGAAACATATGAACTGAAGCCCCCGGATTCGTAGATGGATTCTTCATACATTGGTTGTCCTTGGGTACTTGCGCCTTCCATACCGGCCGAAAATCACGATGCGCAGCAGCGTCAAGCTGGCCATCGCGAAAAGGTCCTCCCGCCACGAGTTCAGGCTTTGTGGTGACTGGCCGTGCCTACAATCACAAGGGTCGTGGCCCACTGAGCCTTTTCCAAGGCACCCCAAGAAACCGAGTAAGGGACTACGGGATAAAAGCCATCGAAACGTGTGAAGGTTTTTCTCTTACCAGGAGTCGGGCAAGGGGGGGGGTGTCCGTAAGCAGTCCACCCCCGAGCTTGTGGTCGTCTGGTCTCAACAACGCCAGGAAGCAGGCAAAATTCATCCTTGGATTGCTCAAAAACAAGGTAGTCCAAGCAAGGCATTCAGGCATTCTGAGAGATTTGCAACATAACATGTGCAAATAGCTACATGTGCTGAAAGTTAACTCATAAAAGGGTCCAGGGCTGGAGGAAGTATGCCAGCAGTACCAGCAGCGGTGGTACTCGATAGTCGCAGGAAGGTGTGGGCCATCGGATCACAGAGGCACAGTGGAGAACTGCGCCCAGGCCCGACTGCCTTGGGAATATTTATTCTGATTTCCAAGAAGGAGGGCCTTTACCCTGTTTGCCGATTTACTAAATTGGGGTTATATAAGGGGGTCCCCCATTTTGGGAAAATACACTCATCTTTGCTTCGCACGACTTCTGAGTATGTTTACATATGTCTGACTCTTACAGGCCTCCGACAACTCCAGCCTCTGCTCCAAAGAGACTGACAAAACTAATGCGCCCACATACTGCTGCGTGTAACCCACCGACTGCGGGTGTCTCCTGGAAGGAACTTACGGTTTGTAGGGTGTAGGTTTTCGGTTTTAGGGTTTAGGACCTGAAACTCTAAATCTTTGCTTGAGGCGCAGCAGCGCTAGCCTGCGAAGGACGGCAACGGCGTCATCGTCGGGCGCCCTGGCATTGATTCAGGCATCGTAAAAGCAGCTATCCCTCTATCTATCTATCTATCTATCTATATATATATATATACAGATATTCACAGCTGCATGTGTTTACATATATGGGGTTTTGCATAAAGATATGTACATACATACATATCTGTATATCTGCATGATATATATATATATATATGATATATATTTATTTGTGGTATATCCGCCGACCCCTAGGGGGGCGGCGTCAGTGAAGACCCATTGCCCCTACCACCTACTCCACCCCATCCAAAGCTCGACCGGCCCCCAGTGCATGCCCGCCCGCTTGCCCTACCCCCACCACCCACGCACCCCGCCCCCCGCTCCTTCCCTTGCCCAAGCCCCCCACGCACCCCGCCATGCTTCTCATGGACCCATGGCTCCTCCCAGTGCATGCCCGCCCGCTTGCCCTACCCCCACCACCCACGCACCCCGCCCCCCGCCCATCCGCCCTTCCCGCTCCGCATACTCCTTCCCTTGCCCAAGCCCCCCACGCACCCCGCCATGCTTCTCATGGACCCATGGCTCCTGGTCCCATTCTTCATCCCAAGCTCGACCGGCCCCCAGTGCAGCCCGCTTGCCCTACCCCCACCACCCACGCACCCCGCCCCCCGTCCATCCGCCCTTCCCGCTCCGCATACTCCCCCCCTTGCCAGGGCCCCAGTACATGCCCAGGCCCTCCGCCCGCTCCGCCCGCTCCCCTCCGCCCTTCCAGCTCCGCCTACTCCGCTCTGGCCTTGACCTACCCCTCATGGACCCAGCTCCCTACCCCTTACCCCTCACGCACCCCTGCCCCGCCGCCACGGCGGTTTAGGGGTTCGGGTTTGTGGTTTCGAGTTTGGGGTGTACGTCGAGGCCTCAGGTTCAAGTCTCGGGTTTCGGGTTTGCGGTTTGCGGTTTTAGATTTGGGGTTTAGCCCCAACTCCCTGCGCATCAGGGCTCCATGTTTCGCCCCCCTGAACTCTACAACCTGACCAAGCCCTGCGCATATATCTATATGTGGCATGGACCTTTATGTATTATTTGACGTTCTCTCTTGTTTTGTATTTAAAAACCTATAAACAAACTAAATCCAAGAAACCTGAAGCACAAATTCACCAATTTCGTTCTCTTAGGGTTTAGGGTTTACGATTTATAATTTACTCTTTTTTGATGTGAACGTACAGACGCAGTCAGATGTTGGCAACGAATACTAGCTATCACTTCTGCTCTTGCGTGGGGGATGATCCAAGCGGTCTCTCGGGTCGGGCTGCGCACCGTTGTGCGCACATTGAAGTGTCCTGTCAGCTGTCGTGCCCAATTGTTGCTTGGTGTGGATCGGCAAAGATCACTGCTACTGAAAGAGGCATCTTCTCATGCAGATGCCCTAACTCTTTCAAGACATCTACATTATCATTCAACGCGTACAGACGTCGGTTCGACAACCTGTAAAACTTCGTACTCTTCTTCACAAACTGAAGTGGACGCGAGTCCTGCAGTGCCCTGAACCGTCTCGTGCAGAAAACACCCCCGCAGAAAATCACTGCCTTTACCGCAAGCATTGGAATCATACAACCGCACAATCCGCTACAGTCCACCTCCGCCACGGACGCACCCATGACCGCAGAAGCCACTGCCCCGCCGATAAGGAGCCGACCAAAAAAAAGCAACGACGGCACCCATTGCAAAAGACCTGCGAAAACGTCTCGCGTAATCAGTGACCATCATACAACAATCGGTGAACAATCTTAAGACACTATTTTTGCGGGCAACCAATAGCAACTGGTCGACCAAGCCGATGCCTGAAGACGGCACGGCTGCGGCGCCTCGGAGCTTGTCTTCCTGACTCGGGAAACTGCTGCGGCCGACGCCAAGTCTCGCCAGCTGTCGTGCACAATTGTTGCTTGGTGTGCGTCGGCAAAGATCACTGCTACTGAAAGAGGCTTCTTCTCATGAAGATGCCCTAACTCTTTCAAGACATCTACATTATCATTCAACGCGTACAGACGTCGGTTCGACAATCTGTCGAACTTCGTACTCTTCTTCACAAACTGAAGTGGACGCGAGTCCTGCAGTGCCCTGAACCGTCTCGTGCAGAAAACACTCCCACAGAAAATCACCTTGAGACACATGCCTTTACCGCAAGCATTGGAATCATGCAGCCGCACAACCCGCTACAGTCCACCTCCGCCACGGACACTCCCATGACCGCAGAAGCCACTGCCCCGCCGAGAAGGAGCCAACAAAAAAAAGCAACGACAGCACCCATTGCAAAAGACCCGCGAAAACTTCTCGGATAATCAGTGACCATCATACAACAATCGGTGAACAATCTTAAGACACTAACTTTGCGGACAACAAATAGCAACTCGTTGACCAAGCCGATGCCTGAAAACGGCACGGCTCCAGCGCCTCGAAGCTTGTCTTCCTCACTGTGTGTTTTTGAGATTTAAAGGAGAACAAGAGAAGAGAAGGGAGAGAGAAAGGAGAGAGGAGAGATCAACAGGAATGCAACTCTAAATGGAAGAGCAATGAAAAGAATGGAAGAGAAATGAGGACCGGCGAAATGCAAAAATCAGGCAAAGAGAAGATGGTGCTCGTTTTCATCTTTCCTCTGGTTCTTATTTTTCTCTTCTCTTGTTCATTTCCGTTAGAAAAAACAAAAGGAATAACAATGAACATGTAAGCAAACCCAGCTGATGCTCATGATTTTTTCCTTTCTCCCTCTCTCTCTCTCTCCATATATGGGCGATGGAACGGGTGTCCTTGTTGGGCCGTTTCCTGCATCTTCAAGTGAGGAACCTAAGTGTTTTCTTTTGTTCGTTTGAAGACACAGAAAGCGATTAAAAGGGACGTCCATTTTGGATTGGCAGCCAACCCAGCTGATGCTCATGATCTCTTCTCTCTCTCTCTCTCTCTCTCTCTATATATATGGGCGATGGAATGGGTGTCCTTTTTGATCGTTTTCTGCATCTTCAAGCGAGGAAAAGGGACACCCCACAAGAAAGCACTTAGGGTGTCCCTTTTGCTCGTTTGAAGACACAGAAAGCGATTAAAAGGGACGCCCGTTTTGGATTGGCAGCCAACCCAGCTGATGCTCATGATTTCTCTCTCTCTCTCTCTCTCTCCCTATATATGGGCGATGGAACAGGTGTCCTTTAAGATCGTGTTCTGCATCTTCAAGCGAAGAAAAGGGCACCACAAGAAAACACTTAGGGTGTCCCTTTTGCTCGTTTGAAGACACAGCAAGCGATTAAAAGGGGCGCCCATTTTGGATTGGCAGCAAACCCAGCTGATGCTCATGATTTATCTCTCTCCCCATACATGGGCGATGGAACGGGTGTCCTTTTTGGATCGTTTTCTGCATCTTCAAGCGAAGAAAAGTGACACCACAAGAAAACACTTAGTAAGGGTGCCCCTTTTGCTCGTTTCAAGACACAGAAAGCGATTAAAAGGGACGCCCATTTTGGATCGGCAGCAAACCCAGCTGATGCTCATGATTTATCTCTGTCTATATATGGGCGATGGAACGGGTGTCCTTCCTGATCGTTTTCTGCATCTTCAAGGGAGAAAGAAGGGCACCGCCCAAGAAGGAAACGTAACATCAGATATAGGGAGGGAAATTGAAGAGCTCCTCTCTTTACTTAGTCATTCCCTTTCCTCTCTTCTTATCTGTTGTTTTCTTCGCTTCAAAAAGCAAAATACGGGAAAAGAGATTTCCTGAAGAGGAGGGAGGGCACCTATTGAAGAGCTCCTGTCTTTACTTAGTCATTCCCTTTCCTCTCTTATCCGTTGTTTTATTCGCTTCAAAAAGCAAAATAAGCGAAAAGAGATTTCCTGAAGAGGAGGGAGGGCACCTATCTGTAAAGAGCAATCGTTTAGAGGGGAACAGGAGAAGAGGAGCGAGAGAGAAGGACAGAGGAGAGATACAGGGAATCCAATTTCAATAGAACAGCAAAGAAAAGAATAGAAGAGAGATGAATAGAGAAGAGGGAGAGACAAAACAAGGCGCAGAGAAGATGGCGCTCTTCTTTATCTATCCTCCCTCCCTTATCTCTCCCTTCCCTCTTTCTTTTCCAGATAAGAACAACTAAAGAGGAATAATTATGAAAAGGAGAAGAGTAAGGAAAGGAGCAGAAGAGATAGGCCGAGAAGAGGGATATGATGAAGTACGGCAAGGTCCACGCGCAACCTCTGCTTACCCTGCCACTGTTTTATCCTGCAAGTTCCTTTCTTGTTGTTCATCAGTTAAAAAGTAACAGAAAGAGAGAAGGGAAAGGGAAGTGAGAGAGGAGAGAGAACAAGGATGCCATTTTTCTGGAAGGGTGCTGGAAAGAAGAGAAGAGACAGGAAGCAAGGAGACGGAGTGACAAAATAAAGCGCAAAGCTCTATATATATCATCTCTCCCTTGTCTCTCCCTATTCCCTTTTGATGGGACGCCCAGAACTAAAATATTTAAACCCAGGTATTTGAATAATTAAATTCTTTAAATTATTTAAATGGTTGGGTTTCCAGAGGAACCAATGGGTTTGAATAATTAGATTATTTAGATTATTTTGGCGCCTCCTGTGAGCCAAGTCTGTGATGAAGTATGTCCCTTCTCCCCGCGGGCCAAAT